GTTGGATCTGTTCATGTGACATGGTTGCCTTTGAATTGACACTCTTTGCTAAAGATAATGGTTATACCTGAACATCCAGTTCCTGTTCATCGCTTGTCTGGAGCACTTGCTGGCAGATGAGGAATGGGTTGGGGAAAGAAGGAAGAAGAATTTAATGCCTGCCCTAACTTACGTTGAAATCAATGACAGAACTTCAGCTAATTTTAATGACAGCTACCTCAGACCTTAGAGGAATAGTCTGGTTCCAGTGCCAAGATGCAAGTTCATTTGCACGATTAGGAAAACAGAGACCTTGAAGATAGATATGCTCGTATCTCCACCTGGGATGATTAGGTGGCAAAGCAACCACAGCTAAGCTGTTTTCTCATCTGATAAGCAAGGGGCCAGGCAGAGGATATGTATGTATACATTTAACTTGGAATCATACTTTCATTTCTTTCTCTCTGGGATGAGTGATGTTTGTGACAGATCACCAGGTAGACACTAAAACTAAATACTACTTATTTAGGAGAAAAACCTCTTGGAAACTGCAAAAGGAACAGTACTTATGCCTGATTTTCTGCTAGGTGGTGTTTTGGGTAGCAGTTTGATACCTTCCATGTTTCCCTTTGAATGAGGATATGATAAAATTAAGGTTTTCATTAAACTCAAAGTATAAAACATACCAATCACACAATTTTCACTTTGGGGGAAAAAACACTTTGACAATAACAATATGTGCAAATAGGAAGCTTTTGGGTTGTGCTGCTAAATTTATTTATATTCACTTTTTACACTTCTCTCTGCAGGTCGGTGTAGTTCTAGTGCAATAGAATATTTTGCTTGCCTTGGAAGCTCCCTACAGAATTAATTTCTAAAACTTTTTCATTTATTTTGTTTCACTTGGAGTAAGAAAAGAAAAAAGACTGGGGTAATTGCTGGGACAATGTCACTTTTACTTAGGTCTGTTTACAGGTTTTTCTGGGTCTCTTTTTATCCTCCTCAGGGTATCCATGTGCTGGCCTGCTTCTCTACAATTCTCAGAGAATCGTTATAATTCTTCAAAAACTTTCTAGCATATTTTTCATTTCTTCATTTTCTGCAAAACAAACTTGTCACTGTGGTTTGGGGCCAGAACAGATTGTGTTGTTGTGTAACTGCCTCTTCTTTGATTGTTGGTTAATCTTCTGGATCCGATACGTTCCTCTCTGTTTGTTTTCCTGATGGGCTGCTATCAAGAGCCCATCTCTTGTATGTGTGATACAACACCATGCAGAGATTGCCCAGCTATCTGGCATTGAGAAAGCTAGCTCAAAGCCCTGGGCAGCATGCTGGTGCTGTGTAGGTTTACTGATGTCCAGATCTGGATTAGTATCTCTGTGTAAAGCCATGCTGATTTACCAGCTTTCTTGGAGATGCATCAGGTTTTCATAGCAGAGCATTGTGCTTTGTAGGTCTGCCTCAGTACAGCGGCATACAAGGTTTAAATATCTACCACACTTACATGGTGACTTTGACTCACTGGTCACCTTCACTATTTGTGTCATTATTCATGAAGTAATCTGAGAGTGTTATATAGCAGCTCCCAATTTAGCCAAATCTCTACAGGACAGTACTGAAACACAGAATTGCAAAGCAAATCCCCTGCTGTGCTAGGTTTCATGAATGCCGTTCGAACAGAAGCAAAGTGCTAAATGAAGTACTTTTTTTTTACAGCACTGATTGTTATATTAGATAATTAAAGTCACTGAAAATATTATTTTATGAATATGCTTTGCCTTTTTGTAGTCCTGCAGTTATATTTTAGGAGAATGTATATGCAACTATACAACAATTCCAATATGGTCTTTTTTTCTGATACTCTCAGTTTCCATTTTCCAGCCTCTTTGTTCTAAAGCCTTTCTATATAGTTAGTGGTTAGCAGTGCCTAATAGCAGTACCACTTGCCAACATTTACAGGATCCCATTTTTGCTTCAGAGGTTGATGACATCAGTGGAAAGCTAGCCTACTGTCTTCCTTTTCACATATTTTTCTTTCTTAACTTTTTTTTTATCACATTTGTATTCAGCAAAATAACTAGCACAGTGGGAAATTTTTCATCTCCCATTCCTCCTCCCATAGTTCTTAGTTTGTATAATGATTTGGAAGCATTGCAGCATTCTACAGGATTCTATTCTAAAATGTTGGTTTACTAAACAACATTAGTGAAGAAGTTATTCATCTGATCCATCCTTCCATATTCCGTAAAATTCCTCTTAAACAGAAGAGGAGTATTTTAAAAATAAAACCTGCCATGTTACAAAGTTTATTTGAATTAATCATGGACAGAACCATAACCTGACGGCAGAGCATAATTGGCTTCAAAAGGGTATGAGAAGGTATATTAATAAAGTATATGAAAATGCTATAAATATTCATTAGCTCTCAAGAATGTGCAGGGTGATTAAAAATTAATTCAATGAATGGCATTAGGGAGAAAGCCGGCAGCATACCACTTGGGACTGAGTAAGACTCACTGGCTTCTCTGGCCATTTTGGCAGTTTTATTGCTGTACTTTTGGGGTTACCATTGTTCTTTAAAATGCAAGAAGCACAAGCGGAATGTAGTCAGACAGGAGATGAGATTTGTGGTTAACTTTTTGAGAGGGAATTTTCAAAGGAATTACACACTGCTGTTTGGTTTGGTTGATGTGTAACACTTCCTAAAAGCTTCTTAAAAGTGGAGTTTTCACAGAAATTACCCAATGATGAGAACACAAAAGATATAAGTTGTCATGAACTGCATATAATTTTGCTTGCAGATACATCCCATTGTGTATTCTGTTTGAGTGAAACAGTGCTATCTAGTTTCTTTAATTTTGAACATCCAAATTTTGGCAGTTCTGTCAGTTGAGCAGATTTGGAGTAATTTGTAGCTTGTGTCTCAAAAAAGCCTTCTACTAAAGAAAGAAAAATATTTTTGCATCTCTTCTCCTGGCCTTCCCTTCAAAACCAGACTAATTTAATCTATCTAAATACTTCCAACCCATTGAGTAGGTATTTTTTTTGAGCTCATCAATAATGTAGGTTAAAAACAAGTGTTTAGTTTTTCTGTTCATTTCAGAAATCAGTGTCTTCTATGTTAAACTGTATTTTAGGCATTTGGTAATTGTAGAATAAGTTATTTCCTCTTCTTCATCAACTCTGGGAAGAAAATTAAGTCCTGAGCCATTAAAATGGTCTAACAGAGCAGCTGAAATCGGAGGTGCTGATTATGGTTGAAATGCACATATAAAGAAGCACAACTTCATAGTCAAGACAACAGACTGGTTCCTTGGTAACTGGTGGATCCAGCCTGTGTAAATTTAGACATTTATTTCTTAATACGACTATAAGAGCCAATTAGGGAGCTTAGACTCCCTTTGCTGTCAAGGGAGGCACCTCCAGGAGCACTGTATGGAAGAGGAACAGCCTTTGGACTGGACAGCCATGGGAGGGACTTTCTTTTTCTGCTGTCTAGAGAAGATGGGCCTTCCCAGGATACAGTTAGCTTTTGTCATTGGAGAAAAGAGGGGTATCCCTTATCTTTACTGTCTTGGTTGCTAGCCTTTTTAATGAATAATACCTGGGAACAAAGATGGCCCTATGTGCATCCGTACAGCCCCCCTGGCTCAGCAGTGTCTTGAATTTGGTTGGGTTCTCAAAACACTAAAGATTTGTTGGTGAAAGCTACACTAAGTTCTTGAAATGTACCGCTCTAAGTAAAAGCTCATTTTTTCTTTTTCAGATGGTCATTTGGAGTTCTGCTATGGGAGATTGTAACTCTGGGAGGCAATCCCTACCCAGGTATTGCTCCTGAAAGACTCTTTAACCTCCTAAAAACAGGCTATAGAATGGAGAGACCAGAAAACTGCAGTGAAGAAATGTAAGTAGCTCTTGATCAGATTAGATTCATAAACATCTCTTGACTAAATACAGTAAAAAAAAGAAAGTTTAAATAAATACTATTTTTTATATCTCAGAGGTATAATCAAAATGTGTCGTCATCAACAGAATGTAATGAAATCAGTGTACAGTAAAGTGCAGGAAAAGAACTGCCAACAGAATACTTGCAGCTACACCCAAAATATTTGTAGGGTATTGAATAATGCACTTTCCAAACAATTAAAAGAGTTTGAATATTCAAAACTTTTGAGGGTGGAGGAGGAGGAGAAGAATTTCATAAAACACTGATAGCTGAAATATTCAAGAGGATGTTTCACTGCTTTTCTACAAATGCGATAGTTCCATCCACAGTCCTTGTCTATTAGTTGTCCTGGCATTGCATAGAAGAAATGATGCCTTAACCAAGAAATCTATACCCTGAAAGACACAAATTTTTGGTGATTCAATAAGCCCATGGCAATTTCTTTTCTTTTTGGAGACAGTTCTTTTGGCTGATTTACTAAAACGATCAACATGAAATATCTTCTCTCTGTGGTTGCTCCATGGCAGATGGGAGATGAAGCATGATTTTATGTTCAGTCTGCAAATCTGGTCACGGTCACTTTTTTTTTAGAGAGTTACCAGGCTATAACCACTGTGATATCTCTTGACTGACTTTCTACATGAAAGATGCTTTGGCCATATCTGGGCTGAGGTAGTAATACAGTATAAGTAATATAATTATTTTTTGTAATACTATATATAGAGAAAAAACATTAAGGGTTTCTGAAGTTAGGCAGGGTAGAAGTTTACAAGTATCACTGGCAAATACCCTCTAGCAAATGCTTATTTTTTTTTGTTTTATTTCATTTCAACAGGGAATAAGACTTCATTCCAAAGATATATTACATTATTGATAATTATTAGGTTAGGCAAGCTGACCATGATTAAGGTGGGGGTTTTTTTATTCAAGACACATCATGGTTTTCTGACTGGTTGAGATTTTTCCTGTCTTACTCAGATTTTTTTTCTGACATCCTTTGAGAGCCCACTTTAAGGACCATTTTTCTTAGTGTTCTCTGATTTACCCAGTCAAGTGAGAAAGAGATATGGATGAGGGCAAAAAATGAAGTGCCTTTGAATAGCTTCCTGTAGCTCTTGTAGCCAAATGTTTCCACAATTAGAGCAATTTTGTGACTAGGTCACTTAGTCCAGAAAACACTGGTAGACAAAGTAATATGAATGGCAGAGGTTGGAGAATTACACATCCAAAACTTGGCCAATGTCTGTCTGATAGTCACTCAACTCCAAGACTTTAATTCTGCTTCCTTCAGTTTCCACACCATATGCTGTAGAAGGTAGTTGAAGATAGAATAAGTATAATCAAAATAACAATACGAACAGTAATCAAAATAATGTTAATTTGTGAAAACAGTCTTAGGTTAGTCTTTGCTTTGAAGAAAAGTTTACAGAAACTTTCCAGAATTTAAACAGATTAAGTACAAAATTCTACTTTCTGATATAACAGCAGAATTTTTCAGGTTTCAGGGATGCACATCAGTGATGAGATACAAATTTCTTCAAAGTCACATGCAAAAGAAATCAATCAGGAATCTGGCACACTGTCTACACATGAAGTAGTCCTTTGAGGAAGTGAAAATAATGAAAGAAATCTAAGACTGCAGTCCTTCAAGGACAGCCCAAGTGCATCATCATTTAAACTCATATGGACTCATGAAAATAAAAGCCCATTCTTGTGAATGTCAGTTTTTAATTCAAGGGAATGTTGGACAGAAGACACAACAGATTGATGTACTTGTGGATAGCCGTCATACCACAGGCCAACTTCAGGACTCTAAATTATTTGAGCAGAAGCATGACCCACTTCTAAGAATAACAGTGATGTTTTTTTTTCACTTTGTGGCGGGTCACAGGTACAACCTAATGTTGCGCTGTTGGAAGCAAGAACCTGATAAAAGGCCAACATTTGCTGAGATCAGCAAGGAACTAGAGAAAATGATGGTGAAGAGTAGGGTAAGTGTGGAAAAACATGAGGTTTTGAAAGTTTTTGTGATCACCTGAGCTTGAATATATAGAAATAATGATTTTATTTTTTTTTAAAGCTGAGTGATTTTACTTTTCATTAATCTTTGAAGCACATACCTAGTTTCTTCCAAATGCATCCAGCTTATTTGAGAGCAGTACTACTTTATATAGTGTCTTTAGTAACTTCAGCCCTAAATGCAGGTGAGTTATTCTTAATTCCTTTAGCACTCTTAAATAACTGTAGGAAGCCTAGAACTAGAAGAATGCAGTATTTCCTTGAGTTTGATTTAGTTATATGATGATAGCAACAGAAATATAAAAGCTGTATGATTCCACCCGTTTGAGTTACTTTAAAACTATTATAATTCTGTATAGACTTTCTTTGAATGAATGGATGCTGAGGTCTAAAAACAAGTGAAAGTTGCATATATTTATAAAATACATACATACCTACTTGCGCATAAACATATTTTTATTTTTTTTAATCTAGTAGTTACGGGAAGGGGGACAGTTAAAAATGAAAACCAGGAAATATCAGATTTGAAAATGTGATGGCATTTACATTGGGTGCAAAAAGGACCAATAAATGAATAGGAACGCTTTTGCTCAGGATGTGAATGTAAAAATGAGTTCTGAATTAAAAATGGCAGAGTGAAAGGTCTAAGCTGTGTACACTAAATGACTCTGACTTGCACCGCTAACTTATAGCTGCTGAGAACCAGTATGCAAATGATCTGTGTGTCCAGTGACAGACTCGTAATATGGAGCTTGGCAAGTTTTTTGAAATTCTCACCATAATTAAAGCCAATCCAAAACAGAGCTTGAAAAATTAGTCATTCGTTTTGCCTTTCTGAATGAAAAACCCTGAAGTTTCTTAAATTTATAAAATTGGGTAACTTTAACTTGTTAAAGTTTTATTTTGGTCGATTTCCAAGGGAAAGCCATTTCAAAGGAAAAATTGTGTTTTAAATTAGTTAAAAATGCTTCACATTTGGTTTTTGCATCAAAGCAATTCAGCAGCATTGATGAAAACCTATGAATTCATGTGGTTGACCTAAATATTTAGTTTTAGAAAACAGCATCAGAAGTTTTATTTGGCAGTATCTACACAGCTAATTTTATACACCATTGTGTAATAGCTGTTGTAAAAGTGATGAGAAGATCCGAGTACCTTCTTTAATCACATATATGTATCTATATATTTCAGGCATGCATATGTATTAGGCATAACAAACTGAAGGTCAAACAAATCAGTTAGCACAGAACTTTAACTTCCTATTTTACTGATGTGCAGATTTAAGGAAGGGAAGTATTAATATGTCTCCAGCATGTCAAGTGTTCTGGTGAATCAGATACTTCCAAAGATCCTATGGTTGCAGAAAGGAAAAGCCTATTCAGGTGCCAGAGTTTGTCAAAAGACTAACGTAGTGAAGTCTGTATTTCTTGTGTTAAAGGTACCAGATGCGCATAATAGCCTTTATACCCAACCAGCAATACAGCCACATATCTTAACCCAGCTTTTTCTGTGTTCAATTCTTAGGACTACTTAGATCTTGCAGCTTCCACACCTTCTGATTCCTTACTTTATGATGATGGGCTCTCAGAAGAGGAGACACCTCTCGTGGACTGTAATAATGCTCCCCTCCCTCGAACCCTCCCTTCCACATGGATTGAAAACAAACTCTATGGTAGAATTTCACATGCATTTACTAGATTCTAGCAACACAAAAAAAAAATTCTTCTGCACTGTTCTCAGACTCTGTAACCCCATTACAGTGTTTCTTGTTTGAATGGAGCCAGTCAAAATTTGCTTGGAAGCTTCTTTTGGGTTCTTTTGTTTGTTTTTAATTTTGGTAAATGTCAAAGTTTGCATCAGGATCATCCTTTAGTCATTTTTCAGCTGTGTTTAAAATGAACATTTATAAAAGGATGTGAAAATAAGTAAAATGAGTAGATATACAGTAAAAGAAAAAAAAGATCAGGGACGTAATCTCAGGGGAAATATAAAATGCTAATGAGTATCTAATTCAACTATCCTATTGGGGGAGGCTAGGAACATTTGCAATATGTTAGATTTTGCATGTCTAATTTAAGCAATAGGTGATTTTTTTTAAAATACTAGGCTCTGCCATAGCTCAGTTATAGGACCCATCTGCAACATTTTTCATTTATCAAGATGGATTTCTAAATTTCAGCTGCTGTTAATGTGTTGTGGATCCATAAGCTGAAATGTCTATTTAATGTATCATAGAATAAAACCAGAGTATTATATACAGAAAGTAGAAATACTGTATATAAGTATTATATACAGACTAAATTGACATGTAAAGTCCTTTGAATATTGAATTAACAATGGGCATTTTGAAAGTACACTCAGCTGTTTTCACGTCCTTTGATTTATTATGAAAATGTCAGTACTAAACCTTGATTGAATGATGTAGCAAGTGTTTTTAAAAAGAACATATGCTTTCATATTGTGATGGTGAGATGGACAGTAAAAATGGTTCTTGCCAAAACTCCTACATTTGTCTCCTGATTAAATACTCTATATGTTAGATACTTACTAACATCACAGATTTTTTTTTTTTTTCATTCTTCAGGCAGTATGACTTTCGAAAAGTTGGATCTTTTAGCTTTAAAGTTGCCATTAATACATGGCTTTGGGTCTATTTTTGATCTATAACTTAGCTTTGATTTTCTTTAATAGGTTCCCCCAACTCATGTTCACTTTGGGGCACTTAGTGGCCAGATTGTTAAACGAACGCAGTAACAGGAAAAGTTGCCACCAAGGCCGATGGCAGATGCTTAATGCTTAATAAAGAACAAAATCAGATTCCTGTTTTTGAAAATCTTGACCCTAGTGTGGTTCTCTGCTCATACAGCTGGATCAACATGGTGCTGAGCACTCTGTTTCCATGTTGGTGATCACTTGTGCCTAAACTGAGGAGTTACTGGACTCAATGCAAGTAGCTACATGCCTGAAATACAGATTTAAAAGCTGAATCAAGACAAGAGTGCTCAGGACTTTGTTGAACTTTGCTGTGCTACTGGGATTTCCTAAAATTAAGCAGGGGATCCCTGGTGAGGGGATGAGAGTGTCCCCAAAACTTCACTAAAGCCAAAGGAAAGGTGCCCATATAAGTAAATAGAAATACTCTCAGCCATTGGAATAGACTTTGGATCCTGTCCCAGATACGTTTATTAATTCTTGGAGCACTTCCTGTACAGCAAGAACTTCCTCTTGAAAAGCTGTATATTGCTACATGATTGTTAAAAAAGAAAATAATGGAAAGTTGGAGGTTTATCAGGAGAAATTACTAGCTTTTCATTATGTACATGTGCATGCACGCACACAATTTTTTATCAAGTAAGCACTTTATTTTTTCAGAGTTTTTGCTTACATTTGAATTTGTGCTTCAGGGATTTTGAAACATCATTTATATGAATTGATTTGGGACAAAATCCAGTGGACTGGCTTATACTATTGAAGGGAGTTTTGCCAAGGGCCTTACTGTCTGCACATGAAGTTATGGTTCTTCAGTGCAGAAAAAATTATCTGTTTTCATTTTTAGGCATGTCATACCCGAACTGGCCTGAGGAGAGCCCCGTTCCACTCACAAGATTCGATGGCACTAACTCTGTGTTTTCAAGATATGCAAATGATAGTGTATATGCTAACTGGATGGTTTCACACTCAGCGGCAAAATTTATGGACAAGTTTGATAGCTAAAATTTTCTTTGTGAAAGGTAATGGACTCCTGAGGGGAACAAAGATGCAAAGAATGGAAAGTCCATTGGCTCGTTCTTTGTACAATTAACAACCAACTTTTAAATTGGCAAAACCTTCTATTGGTAGTTTCTAAAGCGCGTTATTCATGCTGAAGACTATAATTGGTGATTTCCCCATTCAGAAAACATATCAAGCTGGATAAGAGTTGTAGTTCGAGTACTTCCTTCTAGATTGCCGTTTTGCAAATGGTTCCATTTGGTAACTTCTTACTGGAAATGGCTTCACACTTCATTCTCACTGTTTTTTAGACTAACCATCCTATGTTACAGCTTTCTTGGATGGGAAAATGTACTTGAACTGCCACTGTTATAATGGCTGTTAGCATACGTCCACTTGATCTAAGCAGGAAGCACAAACAATATATGGAAGGGAGGGGGGAAATAGGCTCCCAAATTACTGAGCTTGCTATCAAATGAGAAGTGTAACGAAGCCTCTTTCTTGGTTTGGAAGCAAACATGAAGTAACTCAGTAGAGGACTTGAGAGTCAGCATTTGAAGTCTTGTAAAATGTATT